CCCGTCCGAGTTTGCAAACATAGGGAGCTTCCCCGCGTGGTGGGAAGGGGCATTATCCTTTCCATGGATTTGCTTCAAAGCATTTTGAGAAACCCATCATTTTTATGATCTGCATGCTTTTCTTCTTGAGGGGATCTTAAGTTGTTTGTGTCTAATGAAATGCTCCATCCTACGCAAGCACATTTTTCTATTAGACTGAAGCCAACACAAGATCGTCTATAAAGAAGCGATGCAGGCTTGGTAACAACTTGAAAATACGAGGTTAATACTAATGAAGGATAGATATTGTTCATATATGAATCATCTGGATTTTAAAAACATGTATAATTTAAGGAAAATACATATAACAACCTGTGGACTTATAGTAAGTGTACCTATACATGTCAGCAACTCACAAGAGAGTATTTGTACTCACAGTCTAACAAGCATCTCTGTTATAAAACTATTCCTTAGAGCAATGGAATATCATGGATTACCTCGGTAATTAACAAAATTAAAGGTATGCTTAAAAGATTCAATTTAGGAGAAAGATGCATAAGAAGTTTTTCTCCAGCTAACAGACTATTCGAGTGCGCTGTGCTCTCTCAAGCAGGAGACAGGCCAACAGGTTCCCATAGTTTTGTCAGGCTCTGGGAAAGCACATTCCACTGGGAGCTGCCATCCAAGCACCTCCTTGTGGCACTGAATCCTCGGAGTCGAAGCCGTAAAAGGGACGCTCTCTGATAATCTCTTGGGATTTTGCCTCATCTTCTTTGAGGGAACATCCCTGCAGACATACTTGCAGGAATCTACTGAGGAACAAATGCCCAGCAAGACGTTCAGCTTGGACAGGGATTGCAGAATTGATACCCTAAATCAAATATTTGTGCTACCCAGACTGTGTCTCTCGTCAACTGCTAAATGGCTTTTCCCCATAATGCATGACCAGCAACTAATACAGCAAAGACCTAATCTGGGACTTATCACAGTAAAAATATGTACATATATTTTAATATACAAACACACAGTAGTCGATTCAAAAGATGTGAACTCAGCACACTTCTGTATAAAACTCAGGGTGACATAGTTACTAATCTACATGACAGAAACACTTAGGGACCCAGGATTTGAATGATATTTTAGACATAGTGATCAATGGTTCCCCAGACTTTGGGAGAGTAGATCTGCCTGCAGGTACACAGTGATGCTGCAGCTGTGGCCCTTACAGGCAGGGAGAGCAAATTAGTGTTCAGCAGACCTACTACAAAATTAATGGATGTTATGGACCTTTGCCACAGCTCAAGTATTGTCATTATAGCCTAAACATCTTCACCATGCAGGCTAATATGACTTGAGAAATCCTTATATGTATCCCCCACAGAGTATCTGACACACAGATGACATCCTAAACGTCTTAGCAGCTCACAAATAAAGGAAGAACAACTTTTTGACAGCTAAGATACGCAAATTAGTGAAAACGAGTTCTAGAAAGACAATCAGAAGAAAAAAGGGTGATTTAGAATTCAAATATACTTTCTGACAAGTACTTAAGGTAAAAGTCACAGAACAAAAGTTCACTCTCTACAGCGAGTGCAGAATTGCCTGTTAACCACTGATGCTTACTCATTTTTCTCAGAGGAATTTTTCCTTACTACTAGACGGAATAAAGAGAGTCTTCTCTAATTTTGAAAGCTGAAATATTTTATTTGCCAGCACCCAGCTGTAATCCCACAGTGATTATGTGTCCAGTGGAGATATTCGCTAGTTCTATTAAAAAAATCTGGTGATATCACTTGCCTTTACATTACATACTAGATGGTAAATTGAGATGGCAGGTAGATTTTCTCCTCCAGGGAAAAAAAAAATGAAAAACTTCACAGTGAAGCAGGCAAAAATTGAACTATTTGCTTCACAAATGAAAATTTCTTCCACTTCAGGAAGAAATACTTTAATCTAGATGATTTACTGGACTGTAATGTCTTTTCAGAAGAGATGAAGTGACAAGACAGTGATTTCCATAAAGGGTGCCAGGAGAGGGTCCCAGCACCAATGAATGGGACAAGATCACTCCCCTGACATCACTGACCACTTACACAAATGCTGCTAAAAAAGATGAAGAATATCCAGATAGCAGTATTGGCTAACCCAAGATGATGCAAGCAGAAGAAGAGAGTTAGTAAAAGGGCTGATGGTCTAAACAAAAAATCAAACCCACCAAACCCTGTCTCTTTGATTGAATAATTTTATTTAATTTCTGTCCATTATTATCAATGCCAGTGAGAAAACATTCTTGAAAAAGACTGGTTAACCTGGGCCTGACAGAGTCAAAAGCTTTGAAAGCTAAGAGGTGATTATAAAAAAAAAAAACAGAAAGAGGACAGTCAATGATGCCTCTTTAAAGCTTTTAAATGATCCTGACTTACATCGTTACAAAAGCTATCTCAAAGAATGTTTTTTCTGGTTTTCACTCCTAATGATTTCTTTTTACAGGAAAATACAGCCTGTAAAAAGGGCTGTTCATGGAGATTCCATTAATAAGTCTTTACAAAGCTTTTTTTTCTCCCTCAGTCCGGCCTATATTTATTTCTGTTTAATAAATGAATACAAAAAAAATTGCAGGGTAAAAATCAGTGAAGAAATTGTTGCCATAAGTTTATATTGCCCTGCAGTCAATTTGTTGGTCATAGTTGACACTGAAAAATAACTATTTAAAAAAACAAAAAAACCCACAAAAAAACGCCTCAAAACAAACCTCCTACTCTGTCCAAAAAAACCCCTCCAAGCACTGGAGACAAAACTTAATGAACGAATACTATTAAATTAAAACAACACATAGATATGAGTTTTAATTTCACCAAGGTAAGATAATTTTGTATGTCAACAAATTTTGATATGTGCTTTAAATTGAAGACTGAAATTGAGACACCTGTCTCCAGTGGCGCAATGGTGTCATATGAAACACTTGGACAAAGATAACTAGTCATACAGCTATGCCTTTTCCTTATTTCCAGAAACACATGCAATAAAGGCAGCAATAGCATAGACACATTGAATTCTTTTTGTATATTCCTGTCTTACATAAGCAACAAAGGACAAACTTAATGTGACCTCAGATTGGAAAGATGCTCTGTACAAGCAGTGATTGGCAACAATGGAAACTGGTGCACTTAATGATCCCTCTACTAAAATATTGCTCAGATGTTAAAAAAAAACAAGAGAAAGAAAAACCACTGCTCTAGGCTTCAAAATTCAGCATGAACAGCTGATGTGGGCTGAATCTTTCTTAAATAGATATGATTATATTTCAATGTCTTTTGTGATTATGACAATTTTGACAAGATAATCATCTCCTCTGAACAGGACTTTTTAAGGTTTAGAGAAATAATGTAAGGTTTATTAAATAATCTTTCAAATTATCTACGAACTCTGCTTTCAAAAGAAATCCTATGATCTCATTAAAATAATTACAGAAAATCTATGCCTGATATAAATAAGAAGTACCAGTATCACTGGTATACAGAGGAGAGATCTAAAAGTACAGGAACTTGCAAGATTCGAAAGTGATAGCATAGCTTTGTTCTCTTAAGATAATCAACAAAGTTCCTGTGTTAAATATCCTGCATACTAGGTCAAGTTTTGAACCATAGTCTTCAAAATGGAGGGAAAGGAAACCAGTCTCTGGCTATGCTAAAATCAAATAATCTAGATACGTATATTGCAGCCTTATTTCTCTTTACTTTCCTCACAGTTTATTGCCTCTTTTCTCTTACTGCTTCTGGGAAAAAGTAAAAACCAGTTCTACACAGCACAACAGTTACATAGAAAGAGAAGCACAGGTACAAGCAAAAATCAATAGGAAGTATTTTTAAAAAAATCTTTGCTTGAATTCTCTTTTCAAGAAGAGCATGGGAAAATAAAGGAGTGAAACCTGAGATGATGTCAAGAATGAGAGAAATTACAAATTTTAAACATGATTTCATATTTAATTTGATATATTCATGCTTCTTTTAGGGGGAGACAGGACTGACAGAACTGGGAAGAAGGGTATGGTGTTTACTTTCCTGTGATGTAAATACAGCAGGCAGAAGAAAGAGGACAGGAACAGCTCTGAAAGCTCTACAAAAAGAGTTGCTTTCTCTTAACCCCGTAAGTAGGACGACTTCTGCTGCCACTGATTATGGCCTTACTCTAACAGCCAGCACTGCACTTGCAAAATTCAGGTGTCTTCTGCCTTTTACACTGGGGAAGTTACCCTCTTCTAATTAAAAACTCCTGCTCTTGGAGAGTAAAGGGTGAAGTAATCAACTAACACAAGGGGACAATGCAGGCAAAGCCTCTTATCAAGACACTTGAAGACCAAAAACACATTATTATCTGAGAGAACGTTACAGATACAGAAGCTTTTCCACCTAAGTTACTTGAAAGACTCAATACCGCTGCCATGACACCATGTCAGAGCATGACAGAATTGAAATCCCTACCCTTCAATAACATCACCAAACTCAGACCTGCACGACTCCCACTGACTGGGATTCTATGTTACAGCCACTCCAGCAGAAGTGGTCCCTATCGCTTGGTGAGGAGTCAGTAGTCTACGCACAAACCTACTTCAAGCACAAAATGCCATTTTATTCACTGTGAAATCAAGCACTGTGTTTCTGAACAGCTATTTAATGCTACAAGGTTAGCTCTTTCCAAAGGCATTCAGAAATTTTTTCCAATACTTCATAAAGCTAAAGTACTACACAAATATATAAATAACATAGGTTATTCAAATAGCTGAATGGATAACTGAAATGGGAGAAATCCAGCAACCCTTTTGTAAGAGGTTTTAAGTGTAGAAGGCTATCTTCTCCAGAGATGTTAACTGAAATGTAAAGACATGAAATTTAACTTCACATCTTTTGTTTTCAAAATTTCTTTATCCTCTTTTTTACTTGTGAAGAAAAAATGAGCCAAAAAATAACCAATGATATAAAAGAAACACACGAACTTTTAAAAATGTTTAGAAGCCAACTCACCAGCCTCTTTACAATTCTCAACAAAAGCTTCAGTTGTCGTGTATCTGTTTTGGACTTCAGTACTTCAGCAAAGCTGTCCATGTTTTCTGGAGACATGTTCTCCTGACTGTTCCCTCCATACAGCTGAACCAGCAATGACAAGCACTGTGAGGCACTCACAAATATTTCAGTATCTTCACTGGGAAGCTAAACATGAACAAAAATGAACAAACAAAAATCAAATTCCAATTTCAGAAAAATTGCATATCGCTGGGGACTTGGAAGAGTATTAACATTTGCATTGTGCCAGGAAAGAATTATTTCTAGTTGACTGACTCAAAATTCCATTAAACTAAGCTTAATAAAGTGATAAAAACATAATTAAAATATATGTGTTCTTAAGCAGCAGTATAACAATGTCTCTGCTATGAATCTATCAAATAGCCATCTATAGCGACATCATAAAAGCACCAAATATGTTGCTCCCAACTCTGTTATTTTCAGACAGTACATTTTGCTTTAAATAGAAGTAGTAATAGCAGAAAGTATCTTTATAACCATGCTGTCTAATCTTCTACATAATGCACACCATAAAACTTCGTTTAATTATTTCTAAATCAAGTCTGTGGCCTCTGGTTGCGGTAAAGCGCAGGCTATCTAGCTATTTAATGGATTTTAAGTAGTCACATTAGCAGGTACGTTTTGCAGATTTTAAGTATTTTCCTGAATTCCAGCTTTTATGCACTCCTTTGAAGAGCAGACACTGGAGCAGGCCCTAGCAACGGGATGGAAAAACTCTTTCCTGGGAAGCAAAATTATGGAAAAGATTTGGAGGCACCACTAATATGAATCTTTAAATGAGCTTCTGATAGTATAATCTGGAAATAACGAGTAGAGATATTGTATTATGCCTGTATTTGGCACTGTTGGAACGACTACAGTAATGCAATGCCTAGTTTTAGTGCAGACAGTTCATGAAAGCTGGTGGAAAAAAAAAATCACAGAGATTTATTTGGAACAGGCAAGAGGATGACAGATTGGAAAACATAACAGCAAAGGACTGGAGGAATTTAATGTCTATGGCTTATTAAAGGGAGGCTTAAAGAGTACTTGTTCATATTCTCCCAGCTACATGTAAGAAAAAACGGGCTGAGGAAAGGTTAATTCCTTCACCTGAAAAAAGACTGGTAAGAGAAGACAGCTCAAAATTTTAGATAAAGCAATTCAGATTAGACAGAAGATAATACTTTGATTTCTTTCTTTCTTTTCTTTCTTTCTTTCGAGCTGTTAACTACTGAAACAACTTTCTTAGGACTGAGACAGATTCTTCATCACAGGCAATTTATATGTCACCATAATATTTATTTTCTAAAAAAATAACAAAACTCTTTACTATAATGAGGAATTAATTTAGGAAAGTCCTATGTCTTGTGTTCCAGACTAAAAAGATCCCAGACTAAATGATTACAATAGCCTTTTCTTGCCTAACAATCTATGAACTGAACAAAATACACTAGTGGTGGTCTTAACCAATACAGTATAGAAGTGTAAAAACACCTCATCACTCCTACTCCTTTTTTTAATTCTAAAAGTACTATTTAAATACAAAGAAGCTAGATTAAAGTACAGTTAACAGACTGTCCTTACTGACAATAAAAAGGAAACAATGTATATAATCTGTTCAACCATTTATATAATATGCCCAACCATTTCAATAACGATTACTTATTTAATCTGCAGTGTGAACTTCCATAGTTTTTTTCATTTTAAGAAAAACCCATACAGTTACTTTAAAGCAATCTCTGAATATATCATCAGACACATACTCCTCAAATATTCAAGCATCAACTCCCCAGGGATCTGCATGCAAATACAATCCTGTTTTCCATTAGCTTCATACAGCTGGGTGTTTAAAACAGACTGAACTGAGATGTAAGCTCTGAATACATAGCCCCAAGACATATCACATTCTATTTAACCTAATGCTATGCAAGTGACAGGACCACAACAGCTATTTCTTCCACAGTTCTGTTGTATGGTTTTTCTTCATTCCAATCTAAATGCCACCTATTTGAATGTTTCCTTTCCAACACCAAGAATTATCTAATAACATCATCAACATAAGTAGCAAGGCTAAAAAGGAGGAAAAGCTACAAATAGTAACAAACTTTAAAGCTCCATTTATATCTTCAATCCTCATCAAGTGAAAAAAAAATTCCATTGATCTCACTGGGGGCTTTGATGCGACTTGTATTTCCTTCACTGAAAAAAAATATGCTATAAGATAAAGGAAGGAAAAATTAATGTATCTCTCTCATCCCTTTTAAAAGCAGCACTCTAACTTACAGTTTGTTACTAGATCAGTGAAGACAGGTCTATCAACCATTCCCTGAACAAAACCACAATACGAGAACTATATTCGATTTTCAAATGTTTGTTGGCTAACCAAAAATAAAAAATTAAAAAATCAGTGAACATTTGGACAGACACATCCTTGCCCTGGTATTGCAGTGGAGGCTAGCTCCCTGGGCTCCTTAAGCACAAAATCTCATAGAATCCTATAATTATTAAGGTTGGAAAAGACCTCTAAGGTCATCATGTCCAACTGCCAACCCATCACCACCATGCCTGCTAAACCATATCCCGAAGTGCAATATCAACAGGTTTTCTGAACACCTCCAGGGATGGTGACTCCACCACTTTCCTGGGAAGCCTGTTCCAATGCCTGACCACTGTTTCAGTAAAGAAATTTTTCCTAATATCTGATCTAAACCTCCCTGATGCAACTTGAGGCCATTTGCTCTTGTCCTATTGCTAGTTAGTTGGGAGAAGAGACCAACACCTGCCTCACTACAACCTCCTTTCAGGTAGTTGTAGAGAGCAATAAGGTCCCCCCTCAGCCTCCTCTTCTCCAGACTAAACAACCCCAGTTCCCTCAGCCAGTTCTCATAAGACTTGTTCACTAGACCCCTCACCAGCCTCGTTGCCCTTCTCTGGAGACCCTCCAGCAACTCAATGTCCTTCTTGTAGTGTGTGGTCCAGAACTGAACACAGTACTCCAGGTGCGGCCTCACCAGTGCCCAGTACATGGCACGATCACTTCCCTACTCCCGCTGGCCATATATAATTAGTAATCTCAACAGCCATAGTTGGAGATGAGACGGTTCCCAAAGTCTTATCTGAGATCTTCACCAAATATCAGAGGATTGGAAAGGCGTCAATCTCTCCAGAGGACTGCCCCTACAACAACCTTGTGTAAAGAAATACATAAAGCACCATGTCCTTTGCAGTTTTTCCTGACACCAGGAGGGTACATGACTTTCAAGGAAGCAAATGAGCAAGTCCAGTCTATTAGCATTATTCCCAAGGTAGGTTGTCTTCAGCAAGAGTCCCCAGTAAGTGAGACAGTGGAACATTTCGCCCTAGGTGAGGAGGAACTGGTCTTGGGCAAGCGGCTTTGCTTATCTCCGCTGGCATGCCCAACTTTTTATCACTGTTGCTGCTGTCCTTTGCCCACCAACGAGGAAAAGACAGACCCTGAAACTCTCCATACAAAATGTCTTAGCATCAGACAAGCTCGCTCTTCACAGGATATCAAGCTTTCAGTGACCATGCTCCAAACCCAGCCACCAGTACCATTCCAGGGTTCACAGTACTTGCCAGCCATGACATCATCCTAGTCAATCACAAATACCAATGAAGTCCTTCATCCCCTGTTGTACTTCAGGCTCTTCTGCTCCTCTGCTTCACCAGAGTCCCTCTGAGCTTCAGTGTTATCTGTAGAGTTTGGGCAGCAAGTTGCTGTCATCCTGGAAAACTGCAGGGTAAACCACTAACAGCATAGGTCTTGGATAAACAGGAAAACAAGCTGGGAATAGGAAAGACCATATTCACTCTGGAGGGGATGAGAATCATTGGTCTACAGTCTCATCCATCAATAATTAACATGCAAGAGGAACTCTCAGCAATATCCCTATTTAAGTATGCCCGCGTCAGCATTTTTCTCTATAACTCTCACCACTTTGCTGCTTCACTGCTGACAAGCAGCTATTTAGATGTCAAAAGTCGTAAGCTGATAACCTGAAATTTAACATTATAACCAGTACTAACACTGACTGGCAGCCAAAGAGTAGGAGATCTGAAGAAAATTATTGGTATGAACAAAAGCAATAACTGAAAATATAATAAATATCTGTAAATATAGAAACACAAGGAATGAAAATTCAGCTTTCAAGTAAATAGTATCTCATGTCTAATAGGAACAGCAAAGTTAGAATCATGTTGCTAGACAAAAAAATATACAGAGGGACGGTTCATCTCTTAATCAGCTGGAACAATGATTTGATTATTTTTCTAATCCTAACATTTCAATTTGATATGAAGAAGTATATCTCAGCCCTTTGAAATGCATTTATAGCTTTTAATGACAGCAGCTACTTCAGTTTTTGTTCTTTCAGGGGAGGAGAAACCCATGAGAAACTAGAGTTCTAACTCTTGAAGAAAGGATCTGCCCCCTAATATTTGACAATTACATGAAAAAACTCTAGTTGCCTTTCATTTCTTTTTGCTCTATCAGTCTTAGAGGGGATTTTGGATTCAGCCCTTCAGCGAGCTGGAAACATTAGTACTCCTTCTCCTTGCAGCTGTTAATATTCCGGGCTAGTGTATAGCTTGAAGAAAATCCTGCATCCTAAAATAAATTACTGAACAGCTAAAGTCATCATTTTTGCCATTCTCTAACTCAGAACTATAGATTTATTTTTCACTTCAAAGTTTTAAAATAATGCCTCATGACAAGACTTATGGGCACTAAAGATTGTGCAGTACTTATTACTTCATTTTTATGGCCATGTTATAACCTCCCGTAAACAGGCTCATAACGTAAAATTCTACTTCTCTTCCTTTCTAGACAGAACCTGCTCTGTGTATTTTAAGGTTAACATGGTGAAAAGCAGGAAGTTTCTTGTTATTACACATCTATATTTCTGCAGTCTGTTTTCAAAAACGCCTTCATTTTGAACTGAGTTGCAGTGTGTTCATGAATTGCAAACCGTTGCAAGCAACCTGTGATCATTCCAGCTGAAGTGGCAGTTTTCACACTGCTGGAGTTGTTACAGCATCTAATTTTAGCGCTACAATGAAACTGTCTGGATTACCCGGAGGGGACACTATTTCAGCGCATTAATGAGGTTATACACAAAGAGAGTTTATTATGATAAGAAATAGATGTTCATTAGATCAGGAATGTGATTACAGAATGTGCTGTAAAGGAAGCACCATTGGGAACTATAGGGAAGATGATTTTGCAAACATTAAACAAAATGTAAAAGCAAAGCATCATTACTAAATCTGCTAATTTAGTATGTTGCTCTTACTAGTAAATATACACAGTTTTAAATGAAAAAATAAAACATTATATTTTGGCTTAGGGCAAAATTCTTGTCCTCATACTTAAGGGAAAACATTTTTAAAAACATTGTATTTTCAGTTCATTTTAATATATCCTGATTGCTGAGAAACTAAATCCCCATTCTGAAATTCTGTGCTTGTGACAATATACTCTTATTTCCTTTGGTGTGTTTTAGTTTGCTTATTTTGCTGTAGTTCGTTTTTTTGTTGTTGTTGTTGTTTTAGGGTAGCTCTGTAGAGAATTCTTCAAATATAATTCACAGATAGCATTTCAAATACAATAACAGCAATACATTTTACAATACAGGAAAAAACCATACGTCTTTCCACTCTGACCACAGAACTGTCTGTATTCCTAAGAAACATGAAATAAAATTCTACAGTCCACAGGGTTACCATTCTTCTGCAGTCATTTTCATTATTCATCGACAAATACCCTCATGTGCTCCGAAACTGCAGTCAGGGCACAGCCTTAGAGCCAGTGCAACGTAGACAGAAAGGACCTAGAAGAGCTCATCTCATTCACCCACATGCACTGAGGCTTTGTATTTGTCTTCTGCATGTTTGCACACGCTTAACTGGTCTTTCAGCAGTAAGATACAGAGCACAGTAATCAATTATATATTTTACTAATAATACTATAATGAAGAAGCCTAGCACCAAAAGACAAGAAAAGTTCTCTCCCAGCTGGTAGGCTGCAGAAAAGACTGGAAGATCTATACCTAGGATCTATAGAGGAACAAAACTCCTTTCTATAAGTACTGGCAAGGTTTCTGAACAGTTTCTGAAAATCCACAATGAAGTGCTTTCAAAAGTAACCAACCTGTGTTGTGGTTTTTTTTCAGTATAACAGTACATCAAAAAGTAGAAGGTATTTTTATATCTTCTGTAATTGTTGCACGTTTCAGTATAATAACCAAACTACATTTATCACAGAAACACAAAACCGCTGAAATTGGGCAAGACCTTTCAGATCGAGTCCAGCTGTTGGCCTAACACAGCCAAGTCCACCACAAAACCGTGTCCCTAAGCACCACATCTCCAGGGCTTTTCAGTACCTCCAGGGATGGTGACTCAACCACTTTCCTGGGCAGCCTGCTCCAATGCTTGACAACCCTTCCAGTAAAGAAATTTTTCCTAATATCTAATCTAAATCTCCCCTAGTGCAACTTGAGGCCATTGCCTCTTGTCCTATCCTTGTTATTTAGGAGAAGAGACAGACAGCGACCTCGCTACAACCTCCTTTCAGGTAGTTGTAGAGAGTGATAAGGTCTCCCCTCAACCTCCTCTTCTCCAGACTAAACAACCCCAGTTTCCTCAGCCACTCCTCTTAAGACTTGTTCTCTGGACCCTTCACCAATCTCGTTGCCCTTCTCTGGAGACGCTCCAGCAACTCAGTGTCTTTCTTGTAGTGATGGGCCCAAACCTGAACACAGTATTCAAGGTGTGGCCTCAACAGTGCCAAGGACAGGGGCACAATCACCTCCCTACTCCTGCTGGCCACACTATTCCTGATACAAGCCAGGATACCGCTGGCCTTCTTGGCCACCTGGGCACACTGCTGGCTCATGTTCAGCTGGCTGTCAACCAACACCCCCAGGTCCTTTTCCATTGGGCAGCTTTCCAGCCACTCCTCCCCAAGCCTGTAGCATTGCACGGGGTTGTTGTGACCCAAGTGCAGGACCCAGCACTTGGCCTTGTTGAACCTCATACAATTGGCCTCAGCCCATTGATCCAGCCTGTCCAGATCCCTCTGCAGAGCCTTCCTACCCTCAAGCAGACCAACACACCTGCCCAACTGGGTGTCAGCTGCAAACTTACTGAGGGTGCACTTGATTCCCTTGTCCAGATCTTGATAAAGATATCTATGTTCAAGTGGAGAAACATTACACAAAAAACCCTAAGTGTAATTAACTTTTAAACAATAAGCTGCCAAGCACAACACTAAATGCTCAATTTATTTTCCTCTTATTGATCAATTAAGGGCAGACTGATAATGGGATTAAATATTAATTCTCCATATTTGCAGTGTTTTCTGCATGACACAATTTATAATTATTTGATCTTCTGCATTCTTATAAACTCCAAATTTTCATTTATGTGCAATCTAGGTTTCCTACATTTGCTTTGCTATGCTGTAAGAGATAGACTAAATCACAATTACAGAAGGGAAAAATTGATTCTAAGTTTTTTACATTTTTAAGTTTAACTCACATTGATTTTTCAGGGATTGTTAATAGAGATAAACATGTAGAACTTGAGGAAAATAAATAAATAAATAGACAAGTCAACGGGGTATGGACCAATCATCTACTTGAGGGATATACATATCAATAAGGGAAATCAATTATTCAAAGTGACATAATAAACCATAAATATGGTAAGATGGATAGAAATAAGGCAACCGGAGAAAATAATTTTAACTCGATATGTAAAAGTGATGGTTAGTTCAGAATTTAAGACCTCCATTATCTCCAGAAAATAAAGTTCACAAAGAACTGCATGCCTCAAAACAATAAAAAAGCGTTATATAGCTACACAGCTCAATGAATGTAGAGAGCTACTGTTGGCAGCTCCCCAGAACTTAAGCTTAGGTAGGCCTGAGACTTTCTGAGGGGTAGGGAACACATACATCTTGAGAGACCCATTAGACTTCATAAAGAATCTAGTCTTACCTAAAGACATTAGAGCATAAAACATTTTAAACAAGTGGATCCTAAATGTTAAAATTATTATTCCATTGTTCAAACTCTTCCAGCTTTTACAGGAAATATTCAATACAGCAATGGGTAAATGACACAAAATTTGACAAACCTAGCTGAAATAACTTTCATAAAACCAATCAAGCACATGTATGTAAAGAACAACACATACACATTACAAGAGAAAATCCCTCAGTTTTCTAAAATACTTCACAAATTTCAGATCCAAAACAAATGAAAAAAAGAAGCAGCTGCAATGGTCTTTACTCTTTACCCATATGTTAAAATCAGCAGATTTTAAATAAGCAGAATTTTAAACCTACCAGAACCTGTAGAAATACAGAACAAAGCAAAACCTAGTGGTAATTTGCAGCCATGCTTCTGAAATACAAGGGCAAGTCAGAATCTAATCAGTACGTGCTAACTATACAATTATCCTATCCTTTAATTAAAAACTTACAAAAGACTTCCAGGTGGTATAGGCTGAGTAAAGCTTGGCCTCTAATTTTCTGTTCTTTAGAGAGTTAATGGAATTTAAATTTATGTCTAATTTCACTTTAAAGGAACATTTGTGTCTCTTCATGTCTTACTGTTTATCATATATAGTAATTTTAAAAAGTTAATAGAAAATACATTAAAGGAATTGATAAAGATGAAATATTATATAGTTGAAATTCAGTCAATTTGTTTTAGGTCATTCAGCGAACATTTCCAAAATGCCTTTGTCAATGGATGCTTAAAAAAACCCCCAAAACATCAAAGGAGGACTTGGCAACAAGTATAATGCCAAAAATTAATAAAAAAGGAATCACACTCTTCCCCAGAACAGAAGATGACAGTGCTAAAGATAGTAAGAGAGCCACAGGTATTCATATCACAATACATCTGAAAACCTATATTTAAATGAAAAACAAAAAAAATTTGGGGCTGGAAGAGAACACAGTGAATCTGAAATGCCTCTAAGTGAAACAACCTGGGAAGGACAGTGTGATATGCCAGAGGGAAATTCCCACATACCATTTTAATGGCTTTATGTTGAATAAAAGGCTGAGGCAGCCTTTAAAAAGCCTGTCTGGCTCCAGAAGTATTCCTGTACCACAAGCTGTTACACACAGAGCCAATACACATCTCTGGCACAGTATGATGGAGGTTGAGCCAATGGAATGAGTCAGGGCCACAACATATCACTCCGTGGAGATATCAGTGAAGCACTGTGACATCTAGTAAACCCTGGAAAAGACTAACTTTAAACAGACTGGCTTCAAAGGTGTTTACAGATCACCAAGGACCATTCCCACTCATAAAGCCCTCATGATCACGTTCAAATAAAACTAAACTCTTGAGAAAAACTCAGAAGGCACAAACCCAAGAAAATAATATTAAAAGACATCACTCACTGCAAACTAATTTTAAATATACTAACTTTTCTAATGGTAGCAGTACTTTATCCAAATTTTGAATACCATCCTTTCCCCATGCTATGATCACTAACCAGTCCATTCTAAAGGGCTAAAACTTGGCTACACATATGTATCTGACCGGCGAATCTGCAGCCTGCCCCTCATCCCCCTTCTCTGCATGGGACAGACTTACTCTGACGTCACCGGTAACTGCAAGTCACTGTGACCTATAGTTTCTTAAAAGATCATTAGAGTCCTTCCTTCATACTAAGTGGGAGCTTATAAACAATGAAAAACCAGCAGAGTTCCAAGATGTTGAATTCAGTTGAATAATCCCAATTTCAGCAACATTCCAAAAGCCTTACAAACAAGCAGTTCTCACCAGTTGAATAAGCAGGCTAATTAGGTCCGTCAGGGGTTTATTGATAAGCAGAAGATCTTCAGCAGCCTGTGTCCCCCCTCCTGTGCCAGATTTCTGTGCCTTAATAAGAGGAGGAAAAATAAAAAGCAACTTTAGTGACTGTTCTGTTATGAGAAACAAATTAGGTGGTCAAAGTTTGAACGGAAGTTTGAAGGAGACTTACACACTCTTTTCTAGTTAAATATTCCTGGGCTCTAAATGAGCAGTTAAGCTCCCTGTGTCTCTAGCAATAAGCACAAAGCAAAAGAGACTCATGTTGTCATGCCCATTCTGCACAGGCTGAATATCCTGACCTACCTGACATTTCTTCAGCAAAAGATATCTCTAAAGCCATAAATGTTTTGTGTATTTGTATTCTCTTTCAACATGACTATTTTTTTTTCCTTTATCAGGAACAACTTTAAGTGCAACTCAAAACAAGAAAATCAAGGTGACCGAAAAGTTAGGATTCTCAGCAATAATATCCAATTTTGTCCTTCTGACTCACCTTGTAACCTGAAATATTAATAACAAATCATAGTAATTTAAATTATTTTTAAAATAGGAATAATAAAATCCGTAAGTGACCAAAGTCTGTGATATGATCTGTTACTAACTGTAATTCTGTCATCCCCCCTTATCAAAACACACTGCCATCCTAGGCAGTGCTATTTTTGACCCATCCCTACCCCAGGACAACAGAAAAGTCTGCTTGCAAGATTTTTCATTTAGCATCTTGCAGCAGATTTGGACCATGACCCTATACAGTCTAGCTGCTATAGGAAAATGTAAACATTTTGTCTAAAGAACACATTTAAAAATCATTTTGTATTGTGTTTCATTTAAAGCTCAATCCTAAAACTGTCATCCGAGTGTAATACCTGAGGATTTTCATTTGGTTAAGCAAACACAAAAGCAGGTCCCCTGAGACAGGAGACACTGCTGCTAAAGCTCCACTGTTGATACTGATGAGTTGAAAGGATAATGCCTTTCTTCTGGGAAGCATTTTGAAATAAAAGAGATCTGAAGAGATGTTTCTCCAGGTAATGAGACACACTGGTATGTCCCTCACTGAGACTCACCACACTGACCTGGAACACTGAAGTCCAAGAAGGGCAAAAAGACATAGCGCAGAGAAGACAAAAAACCTGACTGTTTATATTAATCAAGAAAGGGAAGTAAGCCACCTTCACTTCAGCAAAATTTACAATGCCTTTTTCTGGTTAGTGCTTGGATGAGAAGACAGACATTCTCTATCAGGGATGTTTGATGATTTTCTCTAACTTTAATACTTCTAATGTCTTTGAAAAGACAATGAACAGTATCACTAAAGGAATTACACCTTATATATGCGTATAAAGGATACATGCTATACCATGCTTTAACTTACATGAAGTCACTAAATAGAGTCCATTTCTCAAATTGAGACTGCAAATTACTTTCAGGTACTGTGGAACAATGTACGATGAAACTTCTCCAAAACAGATACGCAAACTACTCTGAACTTTTATACCATTTCCATTAAAACACAAGCACTTGGACCACAGAGAGCAAACTCTTAAATGAAGCAGGATATTGTTATCAGCACCATTCAGCATAAAGTACTGAAATGTAAAGGAAAAGTAGTGTCATGTTTTGCTTATGTAGCTGGATAAGATTATCACTTTACATATAAAAAGCTTAAATAAAAAAGATTAAAGTGGAGGTAGTACCATCCGTAAAAGTAATCTTAAGCCTCAAAAATGGATAATAATGAGAAAATCTGACTATTTCAAGTTCTGGTTTAGAAGGCATCTCCTTCAGAAATTCCCTAGAAAAAGTGGTCCAAGAATATCTTTTATCACTACAGTGATACATTTAGTGACACACAGATAGTGGAATACTCTGTAAATACGTGGTAAACAGCAGTCACCAACTAATGGCCATCATTCAACAGGACATGCGTACTGAGGCAGCTGTAGAACCCACAGTGGCCCTGTGATAAGTATTGTCAAGACAAGTTTGCCAAAGCAAGTACCACCACCGCAAAATTAGTCTTACAGGGTACAAGGCAGAGTTGTGCTTCAAAACTCAGTTTCCAGCTGCCTCTTGTCATCCGTTAGCCTTCCAGAGCAAAGTGATTACTTTGCCTAGAGCTAGACAAAACTAGAGCTGGAGTTACAGTCCATCAACCAATTGATGTATTCATGTAAAGCCAGAACAGAATTTGGCTTTGAATGTTTAGATTTAATTTTGTATCTAAATAAAAATCACCAGTTTCACTTATATTATCAATCCATGTGCAAGATCCTCTCTCCTCATATGTGTTCTTCAGTATAACTGGCCTCACCACTATTGCATGGAGCTAAGTACAGAATTTCTCTCTCCCTAATTACACAGAGGACTGCCAAAAATATGACAATCAGCAATTAGCCTACAAAATTTGATTTACAAAGTGATTCTTAGATGAGAAACCCATTACAAAACCTGCTATTAGAGAACTAAAAAAAGACAACGTATTGTACCATCAGATCTAAATTCTTTCTTCCAAAAATTAAAAAAAAAGACCCACACCTCTCAGTGAAATATCTGGTTGATAACATAACTGATTACATAAATCTGTGCAGGGAAAAAAAAAAAAGCGCTGAATTTTCAACACTCACTTCATACATTAAATCTTCTTAAAAAAACCCCAGAAAAACCCAACCAACAGCGGAGGGCCTTTTCAGAATAAAGAAGTCATGTCCTGAAAGACAATACAAGCTGGCTGCAATCTTTTGAATCTCTGTCCTCCAGAGGTACTGGACACAACAGGCTTCTCTGCTCTTCAGCACATAATCCCCAAACCATTAAAAACCTCACACGAAGAGTATGCGTTGTTGTCGTTCGCAGCCTAAATACAGAAGCTACTTCCACTTGATTAAGTTAGAAACTTGGCAGATCATTTCAAAACAAAGCAAATCTTGCTAGCTTAACATCATGTCTAAAAAAGGATGAATGTTTTTGCTTTTTTTTTAAAGAGAGTTATGTGCAATTTCTTTGAATAGTGTCTTTTTGTGCTCCGTTTTTATGAGGGAGGATGTCTTCTTTGGAGGAGGAAGTCCTACCAATGCCATAATTTGCAGTGGTTCAGACAGAAACTTGGAAGACAAACTGAGGAGCATAAGGGAGGAAATACTTTTGTCACTGCACATGCAGAGGTTACCTACAGTAATCACATGTGATTTATAATAAAAAGATGTTGTTTTTTAAGAGATATCTTATTTTATAATGAATGGGAAAAAAATGCTTTGAACTATTATTGAGTAAATGTTGAATTAAGCTACTTATGGAGTACAGAAACAAACCAGTCAGCTAGGACCTGTGTTTCCAGCACATAGTAAGGCTAGTACAGCCAGACTAGCCAGGCAAGTACATGAAACAGCGACATGAAATTGAAAAATATGTGCTTTTCTCTTTCTACAAAACTAAAAATTCAATAAAATCAGAATAGTGGGAATTTCATTATTAGGATAACAGGAAGTTACCTAAAATATTGTTTAAGATGGTGATGACCCCAGGAAATAAATTCCATACCTGTAAAGTCTGGCGCACAACGTTTGCTGTATACATCAGCATGCAGCGCAAAATGTCAAGCAAGGACAGAAGCAGTGCATTTGCTGTCTTGATGCAGCTTTTATCATCTGCCTCCAAGTACAGATCCACAGTCTCTATTAGGAGATTACAGATGTGATGAGTCAGTCCTACACAGAAAGTGAGACAAAGAAAAAGCAACAGACTATCAGGAAAAGAAGAATGTGGAAGGTAGCCCAGTTAAAAGTAATAGATTGGCATGAAAACAAATTTCACATACATTATGAATATTTATTCAATTTTGTATTTTTAGCCATTATTATAATTACTTCCTCTTCCATTCTGTTTGGAGCAGCTCATAAAGAAAGCTAAACTGATACAATCAAATTTGCTAATTGCATGGAAAATTATGTAACATTCATTACATAAAGACAGACTTTGAATCCTAAACTTCTCTGCAGCATGCTGGTACAGGAGTCTCGTTCAGAACACTCCTGGGTCACAAGAATTAAGCAACTTCTCCAGACTGTTACAAAATGACACCTCAAGGTCAGAGCCTAAAGTTTTCTTTCTTAACTGGTCCGTCAGTTACAACCTTCCCCATATGCTTTAACTGTAGAATTGAACAGTGTTATGCTAAACATAAAATATATTCAGAAGAGCATTATAAGTGAAATATTGAATAACACACCTAAACTGCTATTAGACTTGTTTGACTGATGGTAGTAAAAAGTTTCCTGAAAACACCTTCCTGTTTTCAAGCTTTTGTTTCAGCTCCTTTGGAATTTAGGGACATCAGCTCCTGTAGCTTGCTTAACCCCCAAATCACATATCAGAAAAAATACAATCCATTTCAAGGCAACACCGATTCAGTTCAGAATCTTTCTTATTTTTAAATACAAAGTGACTCAGTTCATTATCTGATCTTAATCTTTTTCTTTCAGAGTTTCATCAGGAACGAAAGATACTTTGTTCCTCACCAAGAACATAATTATGTTTGTAAACTATCCTCTTTCAAACTGGTAATTAGCCATACTGTGACTTGGGAGCACATATGTAGTAACATTGCAGTATATTTATATATTAGCTTCAGTCCCCATGACAGCCAAAAATAACTTCAGTATTTTACTGATCTCACTGAAGTAAAAAGACTCTTTTTCTAAGTTCTTCTTTAAAAAGTAATTGTATATATTTTTATAAACATCAGTTCAAGATTAAAATGAGATACTGTAGATTACAATATGTAATTACATCATTCAGCTTTTGAGAGTAGGCAAATTTGTGAGGTGTTGAACTATTTGGGTTTGAAAGCTGCCCCATCAATTAACCAAACTTCCATGGAATATTTTCCACCTCTATTCATCAACCTTAATACCTTCCTCAGGAAATTAAATAAAACCCCCTTTCATTTAGATTACAGTTGCGGGTCAGGATCATTAAGACTTGCCCTATTCTTATAGCTCGCATCTTTTGTGTTTCTATGTTACTAGTATTATTCCTTCACAACAGTTTGATTGATGGACTACAGCTCAGGCTAAGCTTTGAATTTCCTGAGGTTTTGTCTGCATAAACCAAACTCTCAAAATTATATCAGTCTAATCTCACACATTTAATTTCCTTCTCCTTTTTTGAAGTACAATTTCTGCTGCAGTTCTGAACACTTCATGCAAAAACGAGATAGCATGCAGAGACACATTTAAATGATGTCACCAATGTTCATCATGAAGAAAGAAAACAAACATAATTATATGTCTACCAATACAAGACTTGTGGTTATTCTACGCCTTTTTTCACCAGGCTAAACTAGAACAAACTTAAGAAAACAGTCCAGTAAGAGTTGGTCCCTATCAAAGCGAGGTCTGCAAAATTGCCTGCAGGGATCTGTCCAAGTACACTCTGTTTCTCCCTGTATATGACCACCAAACCCACAGCCACATCAAAATGAGTGAGTCAGCCTATTATTTCTAGATGGCTTACATATAACCCTTAAGCCAGTGACTTGGAGATTAACGCTGAGAAGGCCACTTTCAAGTGAAGGCACTGTATGGATCCTCATCAAGAATTTTTTAGGCAGTAGTCTTCTCGGACTTCATAGCAATAATAGGGAATGACTAGTAGTGAGTAAAACAACAGGATCCATGACTCTGACGTGCAAAGCTTTCCCTTTCAACTTCGAAGAGAACAACTTGTTTATTCCCTTGACTGTACCAGCCTGAGTCTCACAACTGCTTCACTCCTGATGTTCAGAGAACATGGAGGTGAACCAAATGTTCAACCTTCTCCCCATCCATTAAGACATGAATAATATAATCACCTAGATTTTATTCTCTTGAAATATCTACATCCTAAGGACATGTGTATTAGCAACCCTGCCTCCAAACACCTGAAATACATCAGAATATTCATATTTACTTAGTTTATGAAAACATCAGAATTGGTGGATTTTATATAGGTAGATACATGCTCACGCACAATTATATGTACAAAGATATGCATGTTAAATTTGAAAACTGGGGGAGGGATTTGTGTGTTTGTGTGGAACTCTTCCTAGACTTAAGATACCTTTGGAAAATTTAACACATCAAAACTTTATAGTAAGACATCTAAAATAAATCACTGGTGCAAAACGTTCCCTAACATGCTGCATGATTCATATAGAAACCTGATAAATGCTTGGTTCCACAGATAAAAAAAGAAAAACCCACAGATTGACCTCTTGCCAAGTACATAAAGTTCCAGACGTGCTCTTTAAAATACTTTAGTGTGTCACAACAAAACAAAAATTGGAGGCCACAACTGTAGACATGTAAATATACTCCTTGCTTACACTACCAGACAAAATACATATTCTTTGCCCTCAGAAGAAAATTGGGAAGCTGGTTTAGTTTACAGTGACCATGACAAAATTCAATAGAAATGTAGCAGCTTTGGCCATCAGCACTGTAACCAATTTACTCAAAAGGTAGCTATAAAGTTGAAAACCAATACATTTCAGCTTTCCAAAAATTGAATCTCACAACAGATAATCTGAAAAAAGAGGACGCAACTTTAAAAAAAAATAGAAACTGTATTCATAATTTAGCAAATCATAATATAAAAATCGCATATGGACGTCTAAGTTTCAGAAGATACATTGAAGATTTTCTGCCGGATTTTACAAGTGATTCAAGAATCATAGAATCGTTTGGGTCGGAAGGGACAGTTAAGGGTCATCTAGTCCAACCCCCCTGCAATGGGCAGGCACATCTTCAACTAGATCAGGTTGCTCACAGCCCCATCCAACTTGCCTTGAACATTCCCAGAGATGGGGCATCTACCACCTCTCTAGGAAAACTCTTCCAGTCCTCCACCACCCTCATGGTAAAAAAATTCTTCTTTATATCTAGTCTAAATCTGCCTTCTTTTACTTTAAAACCATTACCCCTTGTCCTATCACAACAGGCCCTGCTAAAAAGCCTGTCCCCATCTTTCTTATAGGTCCCCTTTAAGTACTAAAAGGCTGCAATTAGATCTCCTTAACACCTTCTCTTCTCCAGGGTGAACAGCCCCAACTCTCTCAGCCTTTCCTCATAGGAGAGGTGCTCCAGCCCTCTGACCATTTCTGTGACCCTCTCTGGACCCACTCCAACAGGTCCATGTCTTTCCTGTGCTGGGGGCTCCAGAGCTGGATGCAGGACTTCAGGTGGAGTCTCACCAGAGTGGAGTAGAGGGCTCCCACTCCCCAGCCTGTATTGATACCGGAGGTTGCCCCAACTCAGATGCAAGACCCTGCACTCACCCTTGTTGAATCTCATGAGTTTCACATGCGCCCACTCTTGTGCTTGTCCAGGTACCTCTGGATGGCATCCCATCCCTCAGGCGTGTCAACTGCACCACTCATCTTGGTGTCATCTGCAAACTTGCTGAGGGTGCACTCCATCCCACTATGTCATTGATGTAGATATGTAATGGGCCCATATGGACCCCTGAGGAACACCACTTGTCACCAGCCTCCATCTGGACATTGGGCTGTTGACCACTACCCTCTGGATACAACCGTTCAACTAATTCCTTATCCACCGAACAGTCCATCCATCAAATCTGTATCTCTCCAATTTAGAGAGAAGAATGTTGTGGGGGACCATGTCAAAGGCTTCACAGAAGTCCAGATAGATCACATCCATAGCTCCTCCCTTGTCCATTGATGCAGTCACTCCATCATAGAAGGCCACTAGGTTGGTCAGGTAGGACTTGCCCTTGGTGAAGCCATGCTGTCTGCCTCGAATCACCTCCCTGTCCTCCATGTGCCTTAGCATAGCTTCTAGGAGGATCTGTTCCATGATCTTCCCAGGCACAGAGGGGAAGCTGACAAGTCGGTAGTTCCCAGGGGTCCTCCTTTCTACCCTTTCTAAAATTGGGCACGATGTTTCCCTTTTTCCAGTCACCAGGGACTTCATCTGACCACCACAACTTTTCAAATATCATGGAGAGTGGCTTGGGAATGACACCAGTCCATCCCCTCAGGACTCTGGATGCATCTGGTCAGGTCCCATAGACTTCTGTATGTTCAGTTTCCTCAGGTGGTCACAAACTTGATCTTCTCTTAAAGCGGGAGGGACTTTGCTCCCCCAGTCCCTATCTCGTGGTTCGTCCATTGGAGAAGTGTGCGAAGAGAGGTTGCCAGCGAAGACTGCAGCAAAAAAGTTGCTGAATACCTCAGCCTTCTGCTCGTCCTTTGTCACCAGTCTTGTTCATCAATGGGGTACATCATCTTTGACCTTCCTTTTCTGGCTGTAGAAGCCCTTATTGTTATTCTTAGCATCCCTTGCCAAGTTCAGCTCCAACTGCACCTTGGTCTTCCTGATCCCATCCCCACACAACCTTGCAGCATCCCTATACTCTTCCCGGGATATCTGTCCCTGCTTCCATTGTCTATGCATTTCCTTCTTGCCTTTTTGTTTGTCAGCAAATCTTTACTCAGCCATGCCGCTCTCTTGCCTTCCTTTCCTGATTTCTTACACCTGGGGATCAAGAGCTCTTGCGCTCTATGGAAAGTGTCCTTAAAGATCTGCCAGCTCTGTTCTGCTCCCCTGTCCCTAAGGGCAGTTTCCCAGGGGATCCTACTGTCTAACTCCTTGAACAGCTGGAAGTTTGCTTTCCTAAAATTCAGGGTTGTGTCTTTACTCTTCGG